CGTGGTCCGAAGGTATATAAAAAAAAGAACTTACCGATGAGGGTCAAAATCCCATACAAAAAATGGAAGACGTAGCACCCAAGCCAAAATGACTAAACTTAAGTTACACAAAAAAGGGTGCTAGTCCATGAATTGGCGCTTGGGGCCTAATATCCTAGAGTCCGGAAAATGACGAAACGACTCCTGCACCGCGACCTCAACGGAGACAGAAAAGCGAATCATGCAGAACACGTAACGTTCTAGAAGAAGGTATCTTGAGTGGCCTTGAAGAAGATATGTTTTATAGGAAACCAACTAACGGAGAAAAACTACAGAGCATTTTTGCTGATCGTCACCACCATACTGAATCGCTGAGAAAGAAAGATATAATACCAGTGAAATTATACAATCAATAAACTAATAAATTTGCCAAAAGAAAATCATTGAAAAGGGTTTGGCCTAGGAATGGGCACCCTACTATCAATGAAGAGAAATTAAAATTACTGATAAGTGATAAATAGAAAAGAAAAAGGTTACGTGATTTTGGTACGTTACATGTGGCTATTAACTTTTGTGGGTCAAAACCTTTTGATATGCCTAACATCATTCATAGAACACAACAAAGAGTCAGTCACCCTTTCAAGCATTTATGGTATTTGAGTCTACAGCGAATGGACAGTGACAAATACAGCGTGTCATAACGTTAATCTCATCTGATGTTATAATATTTCTTTGCACATATCAATGAAGCTGACGCTCTGCTGGTACCAGAACTGCTGCTAATGATACGCCCTTTGATCCCCAAAACATTGAGTGGTCAGGATTCTTAGGAAGAACATCGTTTTGAGTCTAGAAAAAATACAAATATTTAATACTCCGCCGCATTATCACATTATCATCTGTGGTTTCCAAATATACAGTTCCACGGAAATCAGTGCAGATTTTACTGAGATTACGTGGTGAAACGTAGGAGCAGTCAGACAGATAAATGCGACTGATAAGGACTTCCATGAAGTATCACGTTTACCTTATTCAGTTGCAATATTGCGCTGGAACTACAAGGGTAAAATAATATTGTGATCCTTATATACAGTTTTCTGCGGCTGAGATGCTTTTTACTTGGGAAGCTTACACGATGGGGCTTAAAAACCCACACTTCATTTTCCACTGCTCTGAACTTCTCTGTTTGTAGGTCACAGCAACAGCCGGCGAGTGAGAGTATTGAGCTTGGACGCGTCCCAGGAAAGGATAAAGTTCATCCACGACTTCGTACAGAGCAAGTACGTAGTCTATAAAAGGGATAGAGGAAGAGAGGATGGAAGTAGAGGAGAGGGTAGGAAGTCTGTTCCCTCGGCATTGGAGTGGAGGTGAGTGGGTCGTTAGAGGAGTGGTTGATGTTGTTGTTTTATGGTACCAAAAAAATGTCGAGTACGTTGACACAATACTTTCCACGCAATAGTTTACATAGCGGTGTCGCTAGGCGAACACTCTGAGTATTATTAGCTTAAGTGAAATGTATTTTACTCACACTAATGACACTTAATCACTGCTGCCTAATACATTTTATTGACTTCACTTTTGCAGCGACCAAAAGTCTGTAAAACGTCGATAAGGATTTTTTAATATTTAGACATCTCCAAAAATTGTTCTACCATTATACCCAGTAAAGACAAATAACATCGGTAAAAATTGAAACACGAAGTCTGAGAACCTTCTGAAATTCTTATTTTTCCGCTCATAGCGAAGTTATGAACGATTTTCAAAACCATAAAGCTTTTTCGTCCCTGACATGGTAAAAATCTTGAGTCAAAATATCAGAATACGAATAGTATCGTGGTATCAAGGACAATCAAACAGAGATACCAACAGAATTGAGCGGCAAGATTTTTTGTGGCGCTCATGTCATGTAACATCGATTTTGACATTATTTGCTACTACAAAGCCTTCCTGGTAACTTGCGTTAGGTGAAATAGTTCATTCCTTTTGCAGTCAGATAATATTCATTCCTTAGCATAAGACATTCTTTGGTCCTGATCTCCCTCTTGTGAATAAGTTTGTTTATTTAGAGAAGGTTTGATTTTTTACCAGTAGATGATGATTCGTGCGCGAAGAAGTTTTTAAAATTTAGGATAGATATCTAGAGCATATAAAAATCTTGTCCAACCACAGTATTTGGAAAGAAACAATGAGTTGAGGGAGAAAAGAGAGATGTATATACTTGATCGAAGAGGAATAAAATTGCAAACACAATCCAAGGACAGTAGAGTTATCCTACTCACAGATTAAGTAATAACCAGAAGTAATAAAAATAACTAAATTTTAATCACCTATCTGTTCAATGATTCTTATTGTCTGTCTTTGGAAAAATAACGGAAAACGTGCAAATCCACAATCGTGATCCCTTATGCAAAGATACGGATACACGACGCCACCTTTTTCCTCAACACTCATTAGATATCTGACGTCTGGCACAATGGTCTTTTCTTAAAATTCTGGATAACGTTATCGCATAACTGTCGCTCTATTTCGTCGATAACGCGCCGTATCTCTTTTTTAAGGCGTTCAACTGTTTGTGGCTTGTTCGCATATACCTTTCTCTTCACATAGCCTCAGAGGAAGAAGTCCATTGGTCCGCATTAACACCATTGTTTCGCGTGCTGTGTGGCAGATCGCACCGTCTTGATGGAAGAACATATCCTCCACATCAATTAGATCCAACTGGGTCTAAAAAAACTCGGTTTACATTTCGCGATACCACACACCATTAACAGTTACCGCAGTTCCATTTTCGAAGAAAAACGGTCCAATCACTCTGCCGCTCCACAATGCTCACCTTACGATAACTCTCGGTGGGTGCATTGGTTGTTCGATTATGAGACGAGGGTTTTCAGAACCTCAAATTCGACCTTTTGACGTACCCGTTCAGTTGAAAATGTGCCTTATCAGAGCAAATTATTTTCTTCAAGAAATCCGCAATTTGGTGGTGCTCCAGCGCCCAATCAACGAATTCACGGCGCTGCGCATGGTCCGTGGGCTTGAGTTCTTGCGTCAGTTGAACCTTGTATGCATGCAAACACAGATATTTTGTCAAAATTCGTTGCAGAGTGTCCTGGTAAGGTTAAATTCTTGGCAACGATGCCGAATGAAAGTGCCTGGATTCTCGGCCACATTTTCCCGCACTGCGACTATACAGGGTGTCCGAAAAGTTGGGGTTGTCCTTTTCAGAAACAACTACCCATGAAATAACAAAGGTAATGTGTAGTGAAACGAGGGCGACCAAGTAAAAAAAAATAAAGGAAAAAGTACTCACTCTCCAGTTGACGAGAAGGGCTAAGTACGTCTCTGCCCGAAATCATACCGCTCCAACAGAAAATGAAATCAGCTGATGCGCTACCGAGCAGACGCAGGCAGTGGTGCAGACCACGAACAGAGGTAACAAATATGACGGCGTTGCCGCGTTTTCAGTTTTTAGGTAAACGTACTTTATGGGTATTGTTCGAAGTTATCGCCGTTTGATTCAAAAACACAGGTGCGTGCACGACGTAGCCAAGCATCGGTGCAGGCTTTGAGAATGGAGTCCCTCCCCCGAATGAAAGCACCAGCTTGTTCAATTCTGAGACAAAGTTCGTCAACCGTATGCACTTCAGTTTTGTACACTAAGCGTTTCTCCCCAAAAAAAAAATCACATGGTGTTAAGTCTGGAGATCGCGGAGGCCACGCTACGGGTCCATTACGTCCGATCCACCTATTCGGAAATAATTCATTCAAAAACTCACGCACTTCGCATCTAAAATGGGGCGGTGCACCATCGTGCAGAAACCACATTGATTGTCTTACACTTAATGGCACATCTTCTAACAAGGAACGCAAAATGTTGCGTAAAAAGTCTAGGTATTGCATCCCGTCCAATCGATTTGGGAGAATAAATGGTCCAATGAGCATACCGTTCACCACAAAACCGCACTCTTGCTGGAAAATCGTCAGGTTGAAGGGCTTGTACACGTTGGACGTGAAACGGATACAACCCCTCTTCACGCAGCGTTTGCCACACTTTAGTTTTTGATACTTGCACTTCTCTAGCCACGTCTCTAGTGCTTGTTGAGGGATTCTCGACTACGCGATTCAGTAGTTCTTCCTCAACTTGCACCATTCGTGGTTGTCTAGGCCTCCCACTGTGCTCACCTCGAAATTCCTCCAAATGGCCCGTATCCCTGACTCTCTGGACCAGGTACACAAATCTGCGGAGCCTTGGATGATGTCGTCTAGGGAAACGATCTGCATACACTCGCGAAGCCTCTGTAGCATTTTGAAGACATTCGCCATAAATTAACAACATATCAACGAGTTCATTATTGGTGTATGAGTGACCTGACACACTGACTCCGATCCAGTTCTGTCGTCGGGTTGAGCCAGTGACCTTGTACCACTCGGTGATGTCGCGGGTCGCGGCTACAGGACGGTATTCAGATATTTTTGATGTTGCAGAGCCCTTTATCTCGGTTCCCTTAAGACATTGGTGTATATGGTACTAAGAAAAATTGCTTATGTTTTCAAGATATACACGTCGTGTAAAGGAAAACCCCAACTTTGCGGACACCCTGTATTTTCGATGGACCGTCCAGGACGGCAACGAACAGTGGTCTTCACATTGAGCAACGTGAATTTTGTCTTAAATTTTGTAATCAAATGGCGAACTGACGACTCATTTGGCGCATTATTGTACGTAGGTAATTTGTGAACTGTTTCCGCGTAACTTTCTCCATTTTTGTAGTGAGTTTTCACAATAAATAATTGAACGTTGCTCGTTTGGATAACGTCTAATCGCGTGGTCTGGACATGGCAGCAGTCATCAAGTAAACACCATAAAATTTGTACAAAAAAATGGCGGCAAATTTAAATCCGGCGCTTTTGTTGAGATACCATTTATATTGTGTGACTTGCTGATCTAAGCACTAACTCCATCTGATGTAAATGACACAAATTATGAATATTGACTGTCACTGTCAAGTGTCGCCATGCATCAGCAACCCAAAATGAACCAAAGGTCTCGGAAGCTCTTGTCATGATTGAAACAGGGAATAGGACAATTCTTGAACAATTAGTTATTCCTTTGATGGGATCGATATTACCCCTTCTCCATAGTCTGGAGACACCAATGGCTTTACATATGTACACCTTGCATACAACCCTATAAACCTTTCAGGTCATTCAATTTCTCCGAAACTGCCTCTGGCATGAGTTATCCTTCAAAGGACGAAGGAAAATGTGGAAAACCATCGAAATGCAGGAAAAGACTGACACTAACCGGGGATTTTATGACCAGTGTGCCCGGAAACAAGCATCAGGGGTGGACTCTAAACAGTTCACCACAAAGGAATGTCGGGGCGGGCAATGGTGTCGAGGAGGAAAGAAGACTCGTTTTAGGTGATTATTCTCATTTTAAGCATTTTATGGTCATTTTTCACACAGCAATATGTCCCACTGATAGCTTATTAAAATAACCAGCGTATTCCTAAAGGCGAGGCTCTTGCGCCCCCAGACAGTGATAACATTCGGGTGTTTCGTCAGATAGGAAGACGCTGCCTGTTCTCTTCTCACCAGCTTATCTGCAAAGATCAGTTTGGCACACTCAGGTCGCCTTTATTCAAAGTGCTGTTATCCGCAAAATTGTGGATTGGACTTGTCATGTATAAATGAAACTATGAGCCATAACCGAACCACAGGAACAACCTGGTTAACAATTTTTGATGGAAATGAGAACCAGCCAATATGACAGACATATTGCGGTGGGAAAAAGTTAACTACACATCTCTGAACAAAAGCAACTATGTGACTATCACCGTATGACTCAGTAGGTTTACTTCACAGCCATGTCACGTAAGCTTAGAAGCCCTTAGTTGATTGTTGGACACGGAGACCATAGTACCCATTGCTTCTCAAGATGTGATGATGAGATGCTTTAAAATCTCACTACTCATGCATTTTTCATTCACCTTTCTGACCTCCTGAAGTGGGTCGATCCTTAATACTTTTTTGGTGTTGATTGCGGTCATGCTGGGGTAGTAAGGTATAAGAGGACACAAAAAGCTGTGCTCTGGAAGACATCTTCAATCCGATACCAGGACCAGGAGGCCAACAACCTCTCAGTCCGTTTTATGTCTGACCATGCTTTCTTTCATAGGGTGGCTACCCTTGGAATCAATGGCAGTAGGGTGTAGGGAAGGATGGCCATGGTAGACTTCTAGATACAAATTTTGGCGAATACTTCCGCCTTAGCCTTGGAAGCCGATTTAAGCTTTCTGTAACTGAAATGATGATACACGCCTTGGACATCCTTAGTAAATAGATGTCCACATCCTCACTAGTATACAAGGTGTTTTCAAAGTTGAGTCATTTATTTTAACAGCTTGTAGAACTCGCCAAAAGAAGTTGCTATACCAAAAATCACCTATATAAAGGTTGCCTAATAAGAGAGTTAGCTTACATTATTCAAAATTATTTACTAAAAATCATTATCATTTTAAATGGATACCGTTTATACAAAAACTGTTCAAAATTGTCCTAATATGTTCGATTACTCGGCGAATCCACGACTCTTCACTAGCTTCGAAAATAAAATCCTGGAGTCCACGAATTACATCACAAGCATTTTTAGTGCCCTGTTGATGTTATTCTAGAGTATTTACTGCTCCATCATGATAGACCAACTCTTTCAATTAACCCCACAGAAAAAAAATGTAAGGCATTAAATCCGGGGAGCAAGCAGGCCAAGAAATGTGTCCATTGCCCTATCCATCTATTTGGAAACTCATTATTTAGATACTCATGTACTTCTCGTCTAAAATGTGGTGCCCCATCATGTAGGAACCACATATTCTGTCGCACAGTTAGAGGAACATCTTCTAATAATTGTCCAGATGCTGGTGAATAAATTTCACTAGTCACTCGAGGTGGAAAAAAGTAGGGTCCAATAAGCATGCCATTTACCACGCCATCCCAAACATTTAATGAACATTTATATTGAAAATGAGTTCTTTTTCCAGCATACGGATTTTCTACTGCCCAAACGTAATTGAAAACAAATGAAAGTCTACGCACTAATAAAAGACTGATTCAATTGAGGGGCCTGGAAGTAAAAGGGTTTAAGTACATTTTTTGTAGTTCTGAGATAAATGGCTTCAAAGTTTACTTGAATTTGAAAATTCCAGGAATAAATTTATCAAAGTATGATACTATATTAAGTTTATTTAAATGCCAATAAAACATTACAAACAAAAAACATTTTCTTAATTTTGCTTTTTTATTGTCATTTTTGCAAAAATGTATTTGAATCATTATACATGTTACAAAAATTATCGTGGTAACATGATTCAAGTGCAAATACCGTACTAAACCAATCATTATTTAAAAATAATCTATAACAAAATTTCTTATTCATAATCAGAATCTAATATTTGGATGTCTTCATCATTTTCTTCATCTGAATCAGCTGGTCTTGGTTGGGGTTCATCTATATCAGGTACTTTTTGGCTTGATGTCAGGGTCTGTGTTTGTTTCTTTTTTCCTTTTTTTGTTAATGCTTTCCCATCGTGCTTCACGTTTTTATAAAATGTATGGTGAATGGGCGGAATGTATTCCAATAAGCTAAGCAAGTGTTTGTACTTGGCGACTTTAATCTTTATTGAAGTCCTATTCAAAGGCTTTAGTATTGAAAGGTTAAAACACGGACGCCCAACTTTTGAGGTTGCCATTAAGCAACTGCTAAACTCTACATCAATGTTTAGGGTACTTTTGTATCGAAATGTTAGTCTTTCACTTTTATAGTAAGCAAACCAGCAGATTTCTTTCCATTTTAAGGGGTAACCGTCACTATTTGTTTTTTGGATCTTTCATAATTTCATTTAACGGCGAAAAAGAGTAAAAATCGTCTTTGTCCATATTGTACACAATAAATTTGGCAGATGTGCCTCTTATTACAGTCTCCCAATCAGGGGGACAAAAACTTGAGGATTTGCCTTTTTTTCTTCTCGATTAAGCCAAAACTACGGTCACATTCCATGTAAGTGTGCCCGGGTTCAAGGAACTTGTGAATAGGACTCTTTTACTGGTAATTCTTGTTTGTCAATACAAAACTCCTGATATAATTTGTACATCTTATTGATACTTAATTCTCCTGAGAGACACCTTGCGTTTCCAATCAGTACTCATTTTGTTTCTTATTATAACACTACCAACACTGCAAAATGCGTATTTTTAACTAAGAATAAGTAAAACGTTGAAATCACGTCACACGTAAAACATTAAAAATAGTTGCCAAAGCCTTAGAAGTAAAATGGTTCAAGTGCACTTGAATTATTTTAACACATACTGTATTAGTAGATATTTTGATATGTTCTCAAAGACTATGAGAGATGACGCCAGGGAACGTTGCCTGCATTTAAATCATTTTACCACCAAGTTAGGATATGCTTTAGGTATGATATTCTGCACTTGACCATTTAATTAAAAAAGTGCACTTGAACCTTTTTACTTCCAAACCCCTCAATTAATCGAACCAAAGACTCGTAGTGAAAACAATAGAATAACACAAAAAGTCGCCAAATTTAGATAAACGATAAGAATAGTAAACAAAAAAACGCCAAGATTTGACACAGCAGTGGTAGAGAATATCAAAAAATCTGTGTAATAACATTCTTATTTCTTTGAATTTTTAATTTTTTACTATTTTTATTATGCAACTTTTATAAAAGTGATTTTTGGTATAATTTCTTTTGTCCTACAAGCAGTTAAAAGAAATTACTCAACTTTGAAAATAGCCACATATCATACAAAGCACTATAGGAGGTATTAACACCATAGGAAACACGGCATGAAGTTGTCGATTGTTATAAAAAAAGAAGCACACTCGTTACACATTAGCTATCATAACCTCTTCCTAAGTATGGGAACGAGCGCTATAAGAGCAATTTAATTTTTGAAAGGAAGATTGGTTCCCTTGCAAACATAAAAATACACTTCTTTTTCAGAATACGTGGCAGCAAAGCCCGGAAGAGTATCCGATACCGACTCCGGTATCGCTTCGCCGCTCTCTCCAGGCTCCGTTTACGGTATTTTCGGCTGCGACAAAAATTTCCAGGAAAAGAAGGATCGAGGGGAGAGGGTGGTCGACAAGTGCCTGTGCTGTGCCGATGTCGTTGTTGGAGGGGTTCAGGTGAGTGGGCTTATCTTAGTTACCGACCCTCGATAGAGGGGTGAAATTGGCAGAGGGGTGGCTTTTCGATAGTGCTGGAAGGTGAATTGTGTTTTTGTGTCGTGGTTTGACCCAAAATGTAAGTATGATGGTTCAGATAGAAGGTGTTGCTCTTTCAGGATTATGTATCGCTCCTGCGATTTTTTTAAGTTAAAAATAATTACGTATGTTGAAAAATCCGCTAGCTGCTAAAATATGGCATGAACATCACGAAATGCCATTTATTTCTATCAGTCTGTGTCGGTCCACTAACACTTGACCCCTCTGTAACTTGAATGTCTTCAATTTTGACCTAGTGACCACAAAGCTACGGGCAAAATAAAAAAATAATAACAAAAATAGCTTGAAGGCCAGTTTTGATCTTTCAGCTGCTTCTGCTCATTTTCAGAAGAAAATTGTACGGACTTAGAATTGGGGATGAAAGGAGGGTGTGTAATAAATTTCTTGGCATTCGTATATTTATAGGCTTCTAGTATTCGTAATTATACCCACCTGTTAGAGAAACTTCATACATAAATTTCCTACTACATTTGCCCTTATGACTGCATTGCATGGTAAGTGCAGAGTCAACTTTTCCAGCTAACGTTTTGCTTTCATCACTAGCTTAGCATTTTTAGTCAAGCTTGGACTAAAATTTAATAATCAATCGCAGTTCATTTCTTATAACGAAAGAAAGAAGTATTTCTGAAAATTGAGTCAAAAAGAAACGGTACACTTTTCATAGTGCTGGAAGGAAACTTGTGTTTTTGAATCGTGTTCTAATCCAACAGGTAAGTAATGTTTTAGATAAGTGTTGATCTTTTAGAATTCCGTATTTATTATTTGCCTTACATACCTGAGGTTACTATGGTGGTAAGTATAATGGAATTTAACTTATTACTTGTACAGAGAGACTAAGAAGCATTATTCTATCACTTAATTCCACAAAAATAGAGACTAAACGTTTGTATAGCGACAGACTCAGTCCGAAGTTTTTCCTCGATTGCCGTTCCGCCGTTATATGTTTCATTAATTTTATTTATTTTTTATTATTCTCTCACTTCACAACATTTGAATGGGAAATTAAAATATACTCTTAAAAGCACCGATGGATACTGAAATAGTCTCTAGTGAAAGCCAGTAATGTTTTTTTGAGTTTTCGGAATAGAGACTGGTGATCAAAACAGCAATTAACACAAATGCAAGGATCTGTTTGGAAGTACTGTCGTTATGCATAACTAAAGTGGTACATAGCATATTTTCTTTGATAACTTTTTATCACCGATCCTTTTGAGAAGGGGTCTCGTCCTAGACCAAATTATCAAATACACACTTCTGAAAGATCCTCAAAATATGTTCGTCGTCGTATAGGCAGGTCTTCATTTCAAAATATAAAATAAATATAAATAGTTGTCAGCTTTTAGTAGTCATCCAGTTTTGAGCTATGATATTAATGTATAAATAGACAGTAAGATATGAAATATAAGACCAAAAGGAGACGACCCTGCAGAAATCTCGTTTTTGGCTATTTTTTTTTAAAATCTTGTATATTGTAGATCACGTCATAAATACCAACCAGCTGTTCGCCATCCTGTAACGTATCTGGAACAGGGTACGAACAGCTACATCCTGGACGCTTTGTATCTCGGAAATTACTTGTGGAAAAAGTTTGGAACCATGGCCCATGTTCTGCCTGTTAAAAAAAGTAGTCATAAAGTAGTGTGGTGCTTTTTTTGTTGGGGAGCATCTGCTATCGAATATTAAAATAGAGGCACTGAGTAAGTGAAGCAGTAATGTCTATCTTCCGCGGCTGTGTAAGAGTTATACTAACATAATGTATATACAGTGCTTTTCTTAAGGCCCATATCGTCAGTCGTCCCTACAATTGTAGGGCGCGTTTATGGCCTCCTTGATTGTCATACTCCTTTCTCTCCTTCAACAATTTCTAGATTACACTTGTCCCGTGTCAGCGTCAGCGCTCTCCTATTGTAAAGATATGTTTTCTTTTTAAATTGTAGGAAATTACAGGCTGATAAAACATGATATAACTCAAAAGCAAGCACAATTTGATGCAAATAGATGTTTGTGACATAACCTCAAAGTAGAGCGCTGACACGGAGAAGTAGAAAACTATAACAATCAAGGAGGCCATAAAGGCGCCCTACAATTGTAGGGACGACTGACGATATGGCCCTTGATTTTTAGAACGGATCAATTCAAAAAATTAAAACTTAAGTCAATGAAATTGATGCGTGGATACCATATTTTAGAGTAAAATTGACAGATGAAAATGTCAAAATGGCCGCTGGGCGCCATCTTGAAAAAAAAATTATATGAATGCGGGGGTTTTGTGGCACATCGTTTTGAAGCTCCTAACGAGTACTTTATAACCCTAGAATATAAAGTCAATACCTTTACCTACTACAAAATGGTGGTACATTTAATAATTACCTGAACACATTGACATTTAACTTGATAATTCTAATAAATACGTTGAGTTCAGTTTAGAAGATGCTGGAAATGGTTGCCTTGAACTTCTTGACACAATAACAGCCGGTCCGTAATTTCGCGTCGAATATTTTCAAACATAGTAACATCGATATTTCTACAAATATTTGTTATTCTCAGCATGTTAATGGGTTTGTGTTCAAGTAATTATTAAATGTACCACCATTTTGTAGTAGATAAAGGTTTTGAATTTATATTCTAGCGATATAAAGTACTCGTTAGGAGCTTAAAAATGATGTGCCCCGTTTTCATATAATTTTTTCCCAAGATCGCGCCTAGCGGCCATCTTGACATTTTCATCTGTCAATTTTACTCTAAAATATGGTATCCACGCATTAATTTCATTATCTCAAGTTTAAATTTTTGAATTGATCCTTTCAAAAAATCAAAGGGGAGGGAGACATTAAAGAAAATCACTTATACAAGGTTCAAAGTTGGGACTTTCCTCTAAAGAGCGTCAAGCAGGTCAAGCAGTAATGAGTAAGTTTCCGTAGTAACACATACCAAAGCCTTAAGTGCCCTATCTTCAGTTGTTCCTACAATTTATTGTAGGACGCCTTTATGGCCTCCTTGATTTTCATAGTTTTCTCTTCTTCAGAAATGCTGGGGTATTTCTAGATTTCTACTGTTCCATGTCAGCATAAGCGCTCTCCTATTGTAAGGCTATGTTTTCTTTTTGAATTGTAGGAAATTACCGGTTATATAATAGATGATATAAATCAAAACCACGAACAATTTTATGCAAATAGATATATATCTGTAACATAATCTCAAAATAGAGCGCTGGCACGAACCAGTAGAAAACTATGAAGATCAAGAAGGCCATAAAGGCATCCTAAAATTATTGTAGGAACGACTGACAATACGATCCTTAGATAACCTAGATATCAAGTTCTAAAAAAACTGTAGATGCCTCTCTCCCGTCCTCTTCGTCCATAAAAAGTACGATGCTTCGTGGAACTATGTCCGTATCCAAATCGGGCGCTGCGCGGTGTGTATGCTAACCTAGTTTATAAACAAGTCGCATTTGAAAAACCGAAATTAGCACATTCCTCGAGCAATAATGTACTTATCGATTTGATGTTAGCTTACTGCGAGCGTCTTCGGGATCCTATAGATACTCCGCGAGTGCTCTATGTTTCTATCGGATATGCGTAGATTTGTTTATATGGTGCAAAAGTCGTCTGAAATTCCTTACCAAATGAGTGGTGAGCATTCCTTTTGAAAGATTTCGGTGCTGTTTTGATGCATTTCAGCTTAGTTATTTCAAACTTAGTTGTTTCTGAAAAGGGAAGTTCCCCTGTATTTGGTGGAAGCCAATTAATGTGTATTCCGTCTCCAAACTAGGCCATAGGATACGTATATAATTACGCATTCACGACGTAATCCCCTCTTCAAATAAAGGGTAGTCAACCACCCATAGCTTTCAGTTACATAATCATCATATCACAAATCTGTCCGGAAGGACCGTGTACCCTATGGCATTAGCATTCAAAGGCTGTTTCGCAGTACTGCAGACTAAATGCAAATTCTGAAAATAATTAGAAGACCAAATAGCTCAATGGTTCATTCTAAGTCCTCACACCCTTTTGTAGGCGAAGTTGGAAACTTTCCTGATACATCCAGGATAATAACGCCTATTTGCATATTTCTTTTTAAGCCCATGTCGTAGAAAGTTTGCTAAACGTTGGAATATATACTTGAAAGTTCAGCTTGAACAACTACTGGTTGTAATGAGAATTTGAAAATATTTTTTACAACTGTAATCGTTATTTTGAGTTTATCAAGTTTAAATATTTGATCACTTTCGTAGAGAGACGGGTCTCGTCCACGGAGTGAGAAGCACACCCCTTGAATTCCGTAGTGAACAGTGGAAAACTTTCTGGTAGAAATGATGAGTCAAGTGACCCTCTTTGGAAGTAAAAAAAACGAGAAGTAGACGGAAGTCCATGTATTTTGAATTTGACTGGTTCTAGAGCACAAGATGTGAGCGCACAAATTCAATTAGTTTTTCATGATTCATATATAAAAACACGGCCGTGAAAATGGAAAAATATCGTTCCAAAACAATGCAATGATCACGGTCGTCGAGGGCACTGAGAACACAGCCACTTCCACGTGCCGGTCTAGTGTGAATCAGTTCATCCAAATTCCAGGAAGAATCTTTTTAGTTTCGCCGGCCGGATCACGTGCCGGTCACAGCACTGTCACGTCACGGCTGAGTATGAATAGGCCTTTATACGGATCACTATGGGAGCTTGGTGATATTCACGGCGGCGCTACGTCACGGGACGGCCGCCGTATTCGTCGTACCTGACCCTCGGCGTGTCGGGTCAGTGCACGGCGTGATTTTCGTCAGTGTTATATCGCACACTATGCGAGCGTGTTGACGGTGCCGTACGTTTTCACTTTTTTTGCCACAGAATACATCAGCCTCTTGGACTCAGCACGATTTCTTCATCGTACGGCGTGTTAGCCGTATGGTTAACAAAACGTGCAAGCTTGTCATG